CCCATTAATTTTTTTATTTTTAGAATTCAATATTTTAAATGAAAATTTTCATTAGTTCTAATAGAAAATAGCAACTAAAATTATTTGTCTAAATCTAATGAATATGTGTAATAAAAATAAATTATCAAAAACTAAAAAAAAAAAATTTTAACGGGGAAATGACCTATCCCAAAGATATCGTTTTCCATGTAAAGGTATGAAAATTTTGACGGTTGTCGATTTTTCTGATCAACCTATGGGTCGAAGGTCAATCACACTATACTTTCAACATTATTTTATATTTGCCATTAAACTTACAAAAAAAAAAGTTGAATAGTATGTAAGCGTTACATCGTATGTCCAATCAATTTAGGTTGTAAACACTTTTAATATGTTTTATATATTTATTTATGACAGGTTTATTATTTTATTGAATTAATATTCTAATAAATTAAATAATAGAGTTCGTAGATTCAAATTCTGGTAACTTGTTAATCACAATGAGTTGCAATTATGAGATATAAATTGAAATTAGACGTAATTGTAAGCAATAATGAGATATGAATATCGTTATTACGGATAAACCATCGCGTGTTGTATTTCTTACTTGTATCGTTGATCTCACAAGCTAAAATGTATTAAAATTTAAATGGACACGTGACATTGAAGACCAGTTAGAGAGATTTCACATGGATAACTAATTAAGTGTCGATGATTAATCTCTAACGTTCGGTAGTATAATTGGTCATTCGACTTAAGGTCATCATAGTGTCGTATTTGAGGACAGTCATACTTTGATAATTTTAGATGTTGCTCTCTCAAAAGTCTATAATATGACATCGTAGGGTATCTCAAGAATCCTATTAAGGTTGTAAATTATCAATAGAGGATTTGTCATTTATATAGTAAGAGGTGATCAACATTTTATTCAATTAAATTGATAATGAAATCCTTGGCTAAAATAGTATTCGTAAGTTGAAAAGAGTTTTCAACTAATATTGACTTAAGAGTACTGAAATGAAAGATATATTGTAATTGATCAAATTATATTGACGGAATTATAATTTCACGATAAATGAGCAAATTTGATTTTATGATATCATGTAACATATTTCGTCACATGTATTTTTTTGACACATTGATAGATGTCAATTTGAGACGACAAATGTAAATTGATAATAAATTAAAAATGAATATTTTCATTTATCGATTCTGATTAGATTAAAATAATAATTCATATCGTTGAGTATCGTGATCGAGAACTTGATATGTCATATACAAAATGAGAACTAGAAGAATAATATTTATTAACTAATTAATTGAAAATTGTTGGACAATTAATTAATTTTGTTACTTATGAATTGGACAAATTAATTAATTCGAATAATTAATTAATGGACCAAGTTTAATTAATTAAACATTGGATCGAATTAAGTTTAAGTGTAGGGGCAAGCCCACTTGGACTTCTATTAATAAAATGTTAGAGTTGAGAAAAAAATAATACAATTCATTATCTTGTTAGCACAAGAAAAGAGAAACCCTAATTCTTTCATTCTTGTTCCCTGTGTGAATTTTGATCGGAAGCTGTACAATTGGATAGTTGTGAATTGCAAATCAGAATTTTTCTTTCACAAAATTAATTAAATGTATAATTTTTATCACAATTTTTTTTCTAAATACAAAGTAGATTCTTGATGGGAATTGAAGTATTATTTAAACTCATATTTGACACACATTCTTTCAAAAATTTTTGAAAGAGAGACATAAGCCCGAAAGCAAGAGAAAGAAGGTTTCGTTTACCAGTGGAACTGGAGTTTCAAAACTCATTTTCAACCACATAATCTTCAATAAAATAATTTTTTCATCACATCGATAATTTTTTTTACTTTTTAACCACATATTTCTCATTATATCACTATTAATATACATTATTTTCTCGATAATATCCATCAAACAAACTCTTAATTTCGCCGTACAAGTTAAGTAAATTCTCAATATAGTAATCATACTTTAAAGGGCTTGATGATTGATGTAATTTTAAAGTTGTTACTTTTAAGTTTTAATATTATTTTTTACTCATCATTGCGAATCATTTTAAAAAAAATAACGATTTCGTTTATCATGCTATTGGAATATTTAGTTTTGAGTAGAAGGCAACGGGAGAAAATTTTAACAATCTTGGAGTACTAAAATTCCGTACTCATGTAGGCAATGTTTGTAATGATGTATTGAATCATTTTCAATAATGTCATATTGCTTGAAAAATTTATAACTTAATTTTTTACACCACAATAAAGAATGTTTTGTTTTGCCGCTGATCATTGTCATGCGTGCGATGTAGGTTGGACGGATCAACTGTGCATGTTTTCTTCCATTGTCATTTAAGTCCCTATTTGTTTCCCATTGTTTTAACCTAAAAATGGATTTTTTTTTTTACCNCCTATTTGTTTCCCATTGTTTTAACCTAAAAACGGATTTTTTTTTACCCTTTTTTCAAAGCATTGGGGTCCACTATGAGAGAATGTGGTCAAATATTGCGGTTCTTTTTACTGTAGAAACAGTAAGAATTTTTATTTTTAGTGAAAACAAACAGGGGCTAAATAAGTTTATCTAGAAAATAGTTGAGTTTTGGGAAATGGTTCGAAAGGGGACTGGAGCAACAATGGACGACACATTATTGCTTATCTTTTATTATTCTACATGAGAGGCCAATTGCAATGCTGATTGAGGTAGCCATGGTATGGTGTCAGGGAAAGTTGATTCATTGTCGTTGAGAAGTTTCGGGCAGGGCAATCGGTTCACCAAGGTGTCTCGCTACATATAGACAACTTAAGTTAAATGCTGATGTTGTCGTACGAATATAGGAAGGGTTTATCAGTTTGGCGAATAATTATCAAGGATCTTTTTAGCTTATTGATATCTTGCAGTGTTGTGCAGGTTAAAGGCTTTTTTGATTTTGAATGGTCAAGTATGTAATGGTGCATCATGGAGTTCAATTCTCCATTGACAATGATTTTCTAGCCGTAATGGTAGAGACATGCTCACCGAGTGATACAATTTTATCTTTGTTAGGCATCGGTCAGTCATGTTTGAGGAATATGACTGCACACCAACTGGCTCAGTTCTATTGTATTCCCTTTGTTGTCACATGTCAATTTGGTTGACACACATTAATATATTATATGCAATCGATTTCCTTAAAAAAAATAAGGGATAGCATAGTGAACAATTGTTCAACATTATTTAACTTAATAATTTATTAGTTCACAAAAATACTTTAAAGATCAATTTGAAATTTTGTTAAAACTTCGGTAACCATAATTGAATTACTTATAGTTTAGAGATCAATGTTTGATGATATTATCTTATATTGCACTATCCTCATATTTCAACTTTATAAAGTTAAGTTCTACTTTTCAACTTGTGTGGGAGTTTAAAATGTAATACGTACGTTCATAATAACTAGGGTGGAATTGTTGTGGATAGGGATGGCAAAAGGATTGAATAGGTTGCTGCCTCGTCAAAATTCGACTCATGGACGACTCGGGCTCGTAACGGGCCAATAACTCGATGGCTTGTCGAAACTCTGCCCATGGACGATTCTGACTTGTCTCGAACAGGGGCTCGTTCGACGAGCTGAGCGTCGAGCTCGCGAGCTAATCATAGGTCGTTCCCAGCCTCAAGTTCACGAGCCCATGAGTTGAGACTCATCAAAAATGTTAACAAAGAAAAAACTCTGGCTTGTGGGTCGAGTCGAGCTCGTGCTCGAACGAACTTGAGCTCGTGGGTACATAGGCCAAGCCGACTTGGCCTGGCTCATTGCCACCGCTAGTTGTGGATTGAAGTTAAGACCATATTGCTCATCTTTTATCTTTGGCAATCAACTTACTACTAAAACGGAGGGAGGGGGACAACTGATTTAAATTTTTATAGGTAATTTTTTTTCTTCTATGTATTATCCTAGTGCTTTTTTTTTTGGTCGCCCCAACTCCGTCCTTGATTACAAAATCAAAACCTATTTAACTACACTTATCTTGTAGTATCAGTTAAGCAAGCTGGTGTTTTCGTCACTCCACTAAAATTGGTGATTCGAAATTTGGAAAACTATAACTAGAGGTGATCCAACTTACAAGTTTATTTTACGTTGATCACTTAAGTTTCAATTCGTTCAAATCTAATCACTTAAATTATGTTTTTATGCCAATTCAATTATACTATATACGGTAAATATAACTAACACTTACTACTGTTTCATTTAGATGAAAATCGAATTTTTAGTAAATTTTGATAAAAGTTGGTGAAACACGTGATTGAAAATTTGTGAATCCCATGAAATATATGATTAAAATTAATTGTTAACTCAAACAGGGGCGGCTGTGTCTCCATTTGAATTTCATTCTTAGCACCGTTTGAACCACATTAAAATTTTCATTTTCATTATTCTACTCATTTTCAATCACACATTTTTCAGTAAAATAATATTTTTCATCACATCAATAACTTTTCCTTCTTTTTTAACCAGACAATCTCCATCAATCTACTATTCCAAAATACATTATTTCGAAATAATGTGGCTCAATTTTAAAATTCATTTTTTTCAGACTTATTTTCAATTGTACATTCTTTCAATGAAATTATTTTGTACTTGAGTCTTAAAAAAAAATTATACTTTTTAATATATTATTTTTTCACAAAATTTATCATAAAAAATATAAATTTAATAGAACCTAAACACGTATACAACGACCAACGAAGTTGGCAACTCATTTTACATTTTCTAACTTTTTTTTTGAGGGAGGCATAACAAAGTTACAAAGTTTGAATAAAAAATATAAATTGAATGAATAAAAATAAAATAAATTGGGTGATGAAACATGAAACAAACTCGTGGGCTGCGTGATTTCCAGTGAAATATTTCCTTTAAATTTTGAAATCTCTTAATTTTAATTTTGATTTCAGTAGAAATGAATTTGTGATTTCAATTTCACACCCCGTACACACTTCTTCGAACTTCAAATTCAATGGCGGTCGCATCGCCTTCAGCTCCCAGTTTCTCTGCCTCCTCCTTCTGCTGTAGGCGCACAGAGTCAACTCACCTCACTCGCTCCCTCCGTTTCTCATCTTGTCCAGTGTTAACTCGTCCAAATGGGATCGTGACCCGCCCGGTGACTCACCGTCCAGCTATCGTCTCCCGCCTCAACGCCTCATCAACTCCGTCCGACGGAGAGCTGATGTACGAGCTCAACAACAGTTACCGGCGGCGGAAGGGGCCGTGGCCGGTGTATGTGACGCTGCCCATGGATGCCGTGGGTCCTTCCGCGCAGACGATGAGGCGGAAGAAGGCGATGGCACAGTCGTTCCGAGCCCTAGCGGCCGCGGGAGTTGAAGGAGTGGTGATGGAGGTGTGGTGGGGACTGGTGGAGAGGGAAATTCCGAGAATTTACAACTGGCAGGGATATTTAGAAATTGTTTTGTTGGCGCAACGATTCGGACTGAAGGTTCGGGCCGTGATGGCTTTTCATCAATGCGGTTCGGGCCCTGGTGATCCCTTCTGGTTGGTAACTATATTAATCCTCGTTGCTCTATCTTTTGTATAGTTTATTATAATTTTTTCATGTATTGGAAAACCTTAATTTCTAGGCACTGAAACATTAATGTGATTGAAAATTAAACTGATTGCACATTGAAGACAAGATTTAAATAAAAACATGCGGTGCATCTCTCTCTATCTGCAACATTATAAAAAAAAGGATGAACCGCATCCTTAGCGGCCCCTACCTGCCCCCTTTGATGATTATATGATTTCCGTTTGCATGTGAGGGCTTGTTGTAGGCAACATTTAAATAGATAAATGTGCCTCGTGTTAACAACTTAGATTTTTAGGTGAGGGGATTAACACACAGATTGTTTTGTCTATCTTGATCCACATAACACTCGTCATTTCCACGTACATATAAGGTACAAATATTGTATTCAAGGCCACGTGAAAAATAAAAGCTTTACGTTTGATTTTTTTATATTGCCATGTTAATTGGTTAATTTTGCTATCTTTTCATTGAATAAGATTTTTGTACACATAGACGAGTTAATATTAGCCTATGTAATTTGACACATGGATTAGTTCAAAAGTCTTGTTCGATTGACACATAAATAGAGGATTTGATGTCAAAATGTAATATGGCACGTGATCTATGTTGTGGTGTCTTCATTGTGCAGTGTTAGCTAAAGAAAATATTGGGTGGTGCCAAGTTAAGAAATTTTCAATTTTAAAGTTTTCATTTTCCATTAAAGAATCCTGTAAGTGTTTGTGATCCCGCATAAGGTCATCTAAGGATGGTTCTTGTGAATCCCCCTATCATACAGATGTTATCAGCAGCGAGTGGCAAATTTCGAGCTTCTTTTGTTCTAGCCAAGTGTTTGCTATAATATGATTTTGGAGTGTTTGTACTAGCAAGTTTCAAATGGAGTTGCTGATGGGAATGGGCAAAAACAAAATGATTATTTTCTCCTTTCACTGTGTAAATAAAATAAGAATCCAATCAACTCAACCAATAACCTGTGCAAGCAATATAATTACGGAATAAACAAGCACAAGAAACACCAAAATTATTTAGCGTCGTAAAACCTCTATGACAAAGGAAAAATTGATGAGGCAAACCAACAAAATCCACTATCACCAAAAAAGTAGTACAATAGTCTCTCAAGATTTATGCCTCAAAATCAAGAGGCATCACAACACACTACATCGAAACAACATTCTTGGCTCACAATAAATAATAATCTAATAATAATAAATGGAAAACTACACCAATAAAAGAGTTAAACATCGCACCAAATAATCAATGGTGTAAAACTAGTGCTGAAACAGAACCCCAAAAATCAAATCTGTCTTCCTCAAAGATGGACCAATGCAGCATTGCACCCTCTTTCTATCTCTTTTTGGTGTTCTTCCCGATGCTCATGTATATGCTGCACTATTCTTAAAAACCAATCAGATCCATTTTTTTGTTTGTATTGGTGACCACCAACATTGCATATCTAGTCTCCCAACTTCAATCCACTTTCCTCATGGGCTGGACCCAATTAATTAAACATATTAAATGTGCCAAGGCCCTGCATCCACAATTTCCCCCTCTAGCCTATGAGTGAGGTACACTGAAAACTCGGGTCTGTCACTGGGAGTCCGTCCCCGTTTGTTCAGTACACAACTCAAGCTTCTTTTGGTAACAACCTTATTTAACATACTCGCAGCGTTGCTGTCAATGTATTTGGAACGAGAATGATATGTGAAATCATTGCCTCAACTCAAGAGCACTCTAACTATCACAATAAATGATGTATCCATTCAGCTTTACGTTAAGTTCCTCAAAAACCTTTTCATCCATACCATTTTGTACCTTGCTTCAGTAACTACTAGATACTCAACTTTAGAAGTGGATAAAACAACACATTTTTCGCAAATTTGATTACCAGAGGAAAGGGCTTCCCCTACAAAACTAAACAAGTTTGCTATTGTAAATTTCCTACTATCAAGATTTCCAGCCATATGCATATACCTAGTCAAAACCGGTTGAGCTGCCGCGAAACCCAAACACAAAATAGAAGTTCTTCTAAGGAATCACAAGATCCAATTTATGTCATGATAATATTATTGTTTCTTGCCCATGAGCAATTTCAATTAAGTTGGAGGCTTCATTTGCAATATTGGTTTTGGCCAATTTTGATTGGAAGGAAATGGCTCCCCTTTCAAAAGTAAACAAGCTAACAGTTGTAAGTTTTTTGCTACCAAAATCTTGAGCCATATCAATATCTGTATACCCAGGCAAAATCAGTTGAGCTCACCCGAAACCCAAACACAAAATAGAAGTTCCTCCTAGGTATCTCAGAATCCATTTAATAACATATTAGTTAAATTTTTTCTAGCCCATGATCAATTTCAATTAAGTTGGAGGGCTTTAGTTGCAATATTGGTGTCACTAATTTAAAATACAAAAGGCAGAAGGTTAGGTTTTTGCCTTTGGATGCCAAAATTGACTCACACAGTGTGAAACATGTATAAAAGAGAAAAAAATTGCAGCTGCACGGTGATATTGGAGGAAAGAAAAAAAATTACTTTTTGGTTCCTTCTTCAAGCAATGTCAAGCGGATTTTAATCTCTATTATGCCATGTCTTCCAATTTTTTGACAACATTTTGAAAATCTGACTGAATAGAAAATGGCTTGGTTGGTTCGATCGGAAAAACCTGGAACCGGCCTAAAAGTCAATATGGTTATAACTTAAAAATCACTCAAATAAAAATCACGGAAAACAGGTCTATTGGCTAGTCTAACTGGAATTAGCTGGGCATGGTACCCGTTTTGTGGCTTGAGTCGCTTGACTCCTATCAACGAAAAGAATTATTGACTTGCAGGCCCAAACGATGAAAGGCCCATTAACCCACATTGCTCCATCTCTTGGCCCATCTTTTTAGCCTGCTTCTCAAGTGTTTGGTTGTGCAAATACCAATGTGGGGTAGCAAAACCTCTCCTTCCTTTGTATAGTTTATTATTTAAATGGTTAACATTTATAGTTGTTTAAAGGAATATCATAAAATCATTTTTTTTAGTTCTAACTGTTGAATTACTTGATTTTAAAAGTTGTCTTTTTCAAAATATTTAAAAGAGAACTTAAAGCCCAAAATAAATTGTTGATTTCTTGAATTTAATTTCCTTTTTTCTCCACTTCACTCCATTTAATAATTATTTTAATCACACACTAAGATGCTACAAAATTATATTAGTAATTTTATAGACTAGTCTATATATTAATTAATTTAGAAAATTAACTTATTTTTATCAATTTTTGTGTATATAAATCTATTTTATTTATTTATTTTTGACAATTGATTTGACCCTAATTGAACCTAGTTCAACATTTTGACCCTTGACTCTTCTTCTCTAGAGTCGATGTCTGGAAAGATTTTCAGAACATTGTTATTTGGTGATTATTAAGTGAGATTTAAGTCTCCTTGTTTTGTTTGGGTTCCATCTATTATTATTAGATGATGAAATATTGTGTACCAAGATGTTGTTCTTGATATGTTTGGTATAATACCTCAAAATTATGGGCAAAAAAATTTTAAGAGATGATATTGTATTCCTATTTTTGGTGATAGTGGAATTTGTTAATTTGCCCTGTCGGTTTTCCCTATTTCTTGAATTGTTTTACAACATTTAATAGTTTTGGTGTTCTCTCGTGCTTGTTTATTCCAGTATTTATTTCTTGCATTGGTTTATTGGTTGAGTTGAGTTGATTCTTATTTTAATTGCATTGTAAAGGGGAAAATTATATTGTTGTGCACATTGTTGAGGTATTGTTGCTATTGTTATTGCAATTTGTGTTGGTGCATTGTTCTTATATATTTTTCCCACATATGGATGACACTGTTCGGTGGATGGGCTTTTACTTTAAAAAAAAATAAAATCATGATTGCTTCTTTCCAGATGTATGACATCACTGGACTAGCTTTTTTATTGCCTAACAAGGTTTAATTTTATTATCTCTAATTTAATTGTGTAGTTGCTATCTTTCTTGCCACTTACTTAAAGTCCTACTTTTTTGTGATGAATTCCTTCTGGTTTTTATTTTCGATAAATTTGACAATCATATATCAAAAACAGGTACCTGGAATTGGACTTGTTCACTCATGAGTCATGGGATGTTTTCATATGGCCCCTCTTTGATGGAAATTATGATCTACATTTTTTTATCAAATTCAAAGTCAATAATTAATTTTAATTACATATTTCATGGGACTCATGACTTTTCAACCACATAATTCATTTACCTTTATCAAAATTTGCTAAAAAATCTGATTATAATCTCCATCAAACAGGGGCATAATAATTTTTGCTTGAATTTGGTTTGCTATTTGGAAATCCTTTTAAATCTTTCATTCAATTGATTAGAAAAAATGACTTTTCGTATGTAGCAATTTACCGATTTTTCTTTTAATTATGCTTTAAGATTTTCATTTATTCCTTTCACTTTTAATATTATGATGCTTGTTTGGCAAGTTGAATATGGGTTTCCTTGTGAAGATTTTGGTTCAAATGGCAGTTAACCATAAATGTTGATTGAAAAAGCAATAAACAATTTCATGCATAACATGTTAATTACTTCTTTTTTCAATTCTGTACATCCCCTCAATCATATTTTTGGGAAGAAGGATTTAAGGACGGTATTGTTGAAGATTTTGAAATCGAAAAGTAAAGAAGTCAAAATAATTGCTGCCTATCAATTTTTGTTGTCCTTGTTAAATAATTAGTTATGCTGTCCAATAAGTTACTGTGAAGAATCAATGATTATCAATCATTAACTGCATGGATGAACTATAGTTTGAATAGGTACAGCTAGAGGTGCAGATGCAATTACTTTTAGTGAAATAAGTAATTACTAAATAAAAGGCGGTTAGGAGGTCATCCAAAAAAGAAGAGAAGAAAGATTTGGAGGTTTCACTTCCAATTAAACTTTTTTACTCTCTGAGAAAAAAAGTGCTTTAACTCTGTTCTAATATTGTCATCAAAACTTCATTTTCTTTTTGGATTCCTGAAAACTAAAGAAAACAATTAACATTTCATAACTTTTAAGCTTAAAGAACATTCTGTTTATCACTATCCTACCATTTGATCAATCCTACAATCAGAACCTGTGGACGCTTTTTTTTTCGTTTGAGGGTCACTATTGAGTTTTAAGTACACGTATACTTTGAAGAGCTCTCAAGTATCAACAAGAAAGGTATTCCTAGTGGCATACAAAAAATGGGAATAAGGGAGCAAGGATTGCCTATGAACATGCTTTTACAATGAGAACTACACCTAAAAAGTTAGTTACATTGGTTCGAAATCATTAGGGAGTCATTTTTGCTCAAAGCTTGTACCTTCATGCATGGATTTGGTCGATCTTTCATATTATTGTTATGTTTGAGCTTTATTACCCATGGCTTCAAACTTAAACTTTCTTTTTCTTGTTCAACGCTTGTGTCGATATGGTGATGGATCTAAAATTTCACCTTTCTCTGTGGCAAGGATTCCTCTCCCTCAATGGGTGCTTAAAGAAATGGATAAAGATCCAGATTTAGCATGTTCTGACAGGTTTGGAAGGAGGAATATTGAATACATCTCCTTGGGATGCGACATTCTTCCTATTCTCAATGGACGAACGCCAATCCAAGTATATGCAGATTTCATGAAGAACTTCAGAGATACCTTCAGACTGTTTCTCGGTGGCATTATTACTGTAAGAATGATCTGCATGATGTTCTTTAACTACCATTTTGATTTACTAGTTTCCTTGGTTTCAAGATGTGGTTTTCAGGGTATTACTTGTTACATTTGCAGGGGATTCAAGTTGGAATGGGACCAGGAGGTGAATTAAGATATCCTTCTTGCCCTAGTCAAAAGCTGACACGGGCATGGCGCTCTCGTGAACTTGGTGAATTCCAATGCTATGATAAGGTATGCAGAGTTTGGGTTTTTATCTCTCGAGGTCAGCATAGTCCTTTCCACTCTATTTTCTTGGACATCTCGAATTATACTTGTTCTCTTTCAACTTGCTAGTATATGCTTGCAACCCTAAATGCCTGCGCATGGGAGATAGGTATGCGTGAGTGGGCAAATGGGGGTCCTATTGGTGCCAGTAATTTAATGCAAGATCCTGAAAATACCGACTTTTTCAAAACCAATGGTTCTTGGAATACACCATATGGAGAGTTCTTCCTCAGATGGTACTCAGGATTGCTACTTCTGCATGGGGAAAGAATTTGCCAGGAAGCAAAGTCAATTTTTCGTGGTACTGAAATTAATATGTCGGGGAAAGTGGCTGGGATCCACTGGCATTATGGCACGCAATCTCATCCATCAGAGTTGACAGCTGGCTATTACAATACCTCAATCAGGGACGGATTTCTACCAATTGCACGCATGTTTGGTAAGTATGGGTTTACTATGTGTTGTACGTGTTTTGAAATGCAAGATGCGGAAGAAATGCAGATAAATGCAGTCAGTAGTCCCGAAGGTTTTCTTAAACAACTTCTTGTTGCTGCAAGAATCTGCGATATTCCATTCGAGGGAGAAAATTCTGCTACTAACTTGGATGATGAGTCGTACCAACAGGTGTTAAAGATGTCAAAGTTCTATTCGGACGGTCTAGAAACACCTTCCTTTTCGTTTAACTTTGTTAGAATGGACAAAAACTTGCTTGAATCTCGCAATTGGGTTAGTTTTACTCGTTTTGTGAGACAAATGTCGGGTATCAATATTTTTCGAGCCAAACTAAATTTTGGAGGAGATGATGTGATCCTTTCTTCTCCATCTACTGCTGCTTACGCTGGAGCTATTGTTGCATATTAGAAAGAGTTCATTCCTAATCGAGTTCACCTTTAATCTGTTCTTGTGAACTGTGTAGTATTTCTTAATATTTTACTGATTATTTTCTATTTAAAGATGATTTTCAGTCTGTTCCTATTCCAGTGTACTATAAAATAGTGCCTTCCTATATTTTGAGAATGGACGGCCGTATTTTTGGAGTTGAGATATGCTGTTCAAAATTGACTGTCAAATTTGCTGTCCATCCAATGATCCATTGACACCACTTTGAATCAACATATCCAACTTTTCTTTCACTGTCACTTGTGCTTAAAAATTGGTTTAAAATGATGTGTAAATGAATCATTGGTGGACAACAAGGTGGACAACAAGGTGGACAATCAATTTTTTATTCAAGTCGTACATTTTTTAGCATAACTGATAAGGTTTTCTTACCAGTCTCCCGTACATTTTATTGTAATCGATAATATAACAACGGTTAGAATTCACCTTTACAATCGGTTTGTAAAGAAAGGGTGCGTAAAGTGTGTATAAATCCACGAGGCAGGCATTTCGTGAACGATGTGTGATACTGATATATGCATTTTACCCTTCTTTAGGATTGATGTTCATAGTCGTACATTTTTTTTTTGTTGGGTGATTACATATAACTAGTCTTCTAATAGCTCTTCCAGGTTGCTTTGTCTTTTGAGATAATGTGTTTACTCTGATTATTAACATAACCATCACTTTAGATAAAATTCACCCTTAAAATCAACTTATAAAAACAGGATGATTATATTACATCTAAGTGTTTGATTTTGCATTTCCTGTGGGAGGCCATTAGATCTTTTGCTGGAAGGAAAAAATTAATAGCAAAATCGAACAGTAATAAGAGCTTGCACATTTCTCACTAAGGAAAATCGAATTTTTCTATTAATTTGTCTCATCATATATATGAAATCATGATCACAATAAATCAGGGCCCTTGGTAACGCTAACCTGTTCATCAACGAGTTGGTACATCTGGTCACGCACATTGTACATTGAATATTCAATTTTTGGCACAAATCAAAATTGATAAACCTGTTAACTAGATTTTATCATAAAAATTTACAGTGATGCATATAAATTTGGCTCTTCTCCATTATGAATCTTTTTTTTTATATATAGAATTATTTACTTCTAGATAATTCTTTCTAATATATAAATTTAAAAATGAATTTCTGAAGCTAATTTTATCGGAAGAACAAGATTTTTATATTATTTGGTAGATACCAATAATTATGTTACATGCTACATTTTAATTAAAATGCTTTTGTGGATGATCAGTGCAGAAAAAGAAAATTCTCGATGATGGCCAACGAATAGATGATATGTTACCTTATTGCTCACTATAGTTGGATAAATGCACCCAGAGTGATATATCTATTTAGATTACATTGTTATTGTATTTTCCAACTACTCCCTTGCACTCCATAGATTAATTAAATGCTGAAAATGGTTAAATGGTTTAAGTTCTTACTTTTGTCGTCTATGGTATGATATAACGAGGCAGTTTTTGTTAGAGAAAATATTCGTGAACGGATACCGATTTAACAAATATCGGATATACAACTTACCGTATACAACTTACCGAATATGTAACTAACAGTAACATACCTGATATGCAGTTTACTGTGTAGACAATAACTTACCAAATAATAGTTAAGATATAGCAGATTAAATAATTTGCTAATCACAACAAACAAAATAAATTATATAAATCATGATAAAACAGAATAAATAATCTAAATAGTAGAAAATAAAAATTCAATTGAACTTTAAAAATCGAGGCCTATGTGAACACAGCTTCTTTAAAACATATTCGCTCCCTCACCGTAGGTTACTTGAGATTTAATTTGAGCGTCTGTTTCTCAGGATACAACGGTAAATCAATAAATTATGTATGCAGACAGAGGACAATTTCGCATTCAGGCAGAGATGCAAACAGCGTAATACTTCATGTCTGGAACAGTGAAAAAATAAGGCTTCATATAGACTTAACCCCAGTAATGACGAGTTAAATCTGTCCATCCTCCTAAGGAGCCAATTTTTGATCAATTTGGTCCGACATTCGTGTACGCAAGTCGCTCCCACACACAAGTTTAAGGTCCGAAACCTATTTCGGTCCGTGATTTGCACCCCGGCACACGCACGTAGAGAGAGGCTCTATGCTACACATGATTACACACTTCCAAAGTGTAGCAATATATAAAGTGGTTCTTGGTTTCATAAACTTCTTATGTGGAATAAACTCAAATTTAGATTTCCATCCAACATAAGTCATATTCAAATGGTCCACTTTGAACTCCAATTTCTCATTCACCCGAACTTCATTTTTGATAAATAAATATATGATTTCAATGTTATCGTGGAGAAGAACACAAATCAATGTTGATCTTCCAAAATAAACAAACGGGTCCCACTCAAAATTAATGTCAAATCATTTATTCTCCTCATTTTTTCCAACAGTTTTCTCCTACCAGAAGGCACTGACTGTCTTCAAATCTTCAAAGGGTGACAACCACTGGCGGACCCACATGGGGTCATGTGGGGTCAAATGACCCCACGATTTTTTTTTTGAGTTTTCCTGAGTTTTTTTTTTTTTTACCTAAACATTTTTGAATTCTCATTTTTGACCCCACGAGAAAAATGGTCTCGGTTCGCCCCCGGTGACAACCACCTTCAGTTGCCTCAGTCTTTGATGGTTTGCTGACTTATACTGCAAGACAGGAAAACTAAGGGGTTGTTCTCTTTGTGTTTCAGTTTTGTATTTTGAGTTTTGAATTCGTTTTGTGTTTTGTGTTTTGAGTGTCTGTTTTGAAATTTCTGAAAATGCGTTCTTTTTGCCATTCTGAAAAACTGTTTCTGAAAACATGAAAATGGAAAACGCGTTTACTTTGAAATTTTGAGATGGGCGAGGGTAGGTTATTTGCCCGTTTAAATTTTTTTTTTTTGATAATTTATTTTTATTGTCCATATTCATTATATTTAGACAAATAATTTTAGTTGCTATGTTCTATTAGAACTAACGAAAATGTTCATTTAAAATATTGAATTCTAAAAAAAAAATTTTTTTTTTTAACGGGACGGGGCGAGGCAGGGCGGGGACCCCGTTACCCGTCCCCGCCCCGTTACCCGTTTAAGCGGGTTTTCCCCTCCCCGTTCGGAGCGGGTCCCTGCGTGTATCGGGTTTGTCGAGTTTTTTTGCCATCCCTAATTTTATCAGAAGAACAAGATTTTTATATTATTTGGTAGATACCAATAATTATGTTACATGCTACATTTTAATTAAAATGCTTTTGTGGATGAATGTGTCAAACTGAACTTTTCCCATTAAATGCAGAAAAAAAAAAATGTTACCATTTGCTGTATGGCACAGTTATTTTTGAGCACGTATAGCCAGCTATAATTAAGCTTCTATTATATTCTTACAAATTACATGAGTAAACACGCAGATGGTTTGACCGAGATGAGCATTCTTTGAGCCTCAAATCATCTGAGAAAATTCTCGAGAAATTGGAAGATGTTGGCCAACAAATAGACCATATGTTACCTTATTGCTCACTATAGTTGGGTAAATGCACCCTTTTTGTTATAGTATTTTCCAACTACTCCCTTGCACTCCATAGATTAATCAAATGCTGAAAATGGTTAAATGGTTTTAAGTTCTTACTTTTGTCGTCTATGGTATGATATAACGAGGCAGTTTTTGTTAAGAGAAAATATTCGTGAACGGATACCGATTTAACAAATACCGGATATGCAACTTACCGTATATACAACTTACCGAACATACCGGATATACAGTTTACCGTGTAGACAATAACTTACCGAATAATATTTGCACACACCGAATTTGCATGTACCGTATATGCGACCAATACCGTATATGCAAGTTACCGTGTAGACAATAACTTACCGAATAATAGTTAAGATATATCAGATTAAATAATTTGCTAATCACAACAAACAAAATAAATTATATAAATCACGATAAAATAGAATAAATAATCTAAATAGTAGAAAATAAAAATTCAATTGAAATTTAAATATCGAGATCTGTGTGAACACAGTTTCTTTAAAACAAATTCACCTCATCGCCGTAGGTACTTGAAGTTTAATTTGAGCGTGTGTTTCCTAATATACAACGATAAACCAATAAATTATGTATGCAGGAGATGACAATTTCACATGCAGACAGAGATGTAGACAGTGTAATACTTCATGTCTGGAACAGTGAAAAAACAAGGCTTCATATAGACTTAACTCACGTAATGACGACTTAAATCTGCCTATCCTCCTAAGGAGCCAATTTTTGGTCAATTTGGTTCGACATTCGTGTACGCAAATCGCGCCTGCACACAAGGTTAAGGTCTGAAGCCTATTTCGATCCGTGATTTGCACCCTTGCGCGCGCACGTGAAGAGAGCATTTATACTACACATGATTACAAATTTTTTAAGTGTAGCAATATTGGTTAATTTCACAAACGGTCACTGAAATTACGTCAAAATCACAAAACGGTCACTGAAATTTAAAACTTGCACTAACCGGTCACTGAAGTATCATCCGGTTTCAGTAATGGTCATTGAAGGACCTTTTTCATTTTAATTGGAATTTAATGGACCAAAATAGTTGAAACTTGAACCTTGAGTACCTAAATCTCAAATTTGACAAATTTATATTTATTTTCTTAGCCTCCTTTGGATATAAATTTATAAATGATATTCAATTAAAAATTTTAACTATTCATTGAAAAAAAAAAAATTTATTATCCACACATTTCATGATACCTATTATATTCCTTATTGTT